CAATTCAGTGCTATTACAAAAGTACCAACTTTGATGCAAAACTGCAGAATAAAGAAGCGTGCAGAAGGAGAAACAAAGTTATAACATACCTTTATCGGGAAATAAAATGAACGGTAAGCAAGATGGTCACGTCCGCAAAGGGGAGGATACTCTACACGCATGTGCATTTCCAGGTTTTGGAAGAAATCAAATTCCTACAGAAGTTTCATTGACATGACTATGAAATAAATTTTGAGCAGAATATAAATAAAAAAATAAGATCAAGTGCAATTTATTCGACAAAAAATATACATCTCTTGACATAAATGGAACTAGTATTCCAATAATCCCGCAGATAGTAGTGTAGATCAAACAGTCATTGGCGCCAGGCACCAGAGATGTTTTCTGCATAGATGTTATCACTTCCCCTACGTGAAACTGTGCAATATGTTCCACCTGAAAATTCCTTTATTATAATGTCAGAACAGTTAGAAAATAATGTGAATGACATTAAGTGCATTAAACTGTAAGTAAACAAATTAACCAAAAGAAATAGTCGTTACTTTTTGAGAAGCTCCATTCAGATTCCCTCTGTCCCAGAGTGCCCGCACCCCGGTGGGATCTTCCTGTATTTCTTCTGTGACATTACCAGGTAAGCGAAGCTAAAGAGATAATCGCTAAACAAATAATTTCTCAAATTGAAAAAGATATCAGCAAAAATATTAAACTTACAACAGCAATATTACCAAAACGATCCCCAACAGCAACAGTATCGTAGTCAAGAAGACAAACACTTGTAACATACCTCGGTGAAGTGTCATCACAAAAGATTGATAACTGATTGTCCTATAAATTTCTATTTAAACCACTAAAACCTGTAGAGAACTAAAGATAAAGGAAAAAGGAAAAAAAACTATAGTCTCTAAATTCATTGACACTGAAAATGGAAAAGCGTACCTGTTTTTTGTACCTCAAAAAGTGCACAGATTCTTGAACATCACTAACCACGATTCTCTGACCCATAGATCTGATATCCACAACCATGGTTGGTATTTGCTAAGAAATTTCTTTTGAAATTCAGAATAATACTTTTGAAGTGATTTAAGCAAATATTCATTTAAAGTTAATCAAATCGTGAACAAACCCTATTTTCGCACTTAGCTAAGAGTTTACGCTTCCCGAGGTCGTAAAGTCTGATTTTCTTTCCAACGCCGACTAAAGCCATACCACGAAAATCATGCACAGCATTTACAACCTAAAACTGCAGAAAATTTAGTTGAAGAATTCATAAATAAAAGAGATAAAAATGACCCAAAAAAACTTTTCAGAAATTAATAACTTTAACTCGCCTCATCCGTGGGAGTCCTATGAATCATTTCCAACTGAGAACCATTGTTAGTTAATAAGAATGTATAAATACACCCCCCGCTAACTTTCCTCGGCTTCAGCTGCAGTTCAATCCCGCAACCCACAAGAACAAATTGAGCGTCAGGTTGATTCTGGAACTGCACCATAGCAATCCTTAAAATCAGTTAAAGTCAATCTTCATGATGAAAACAAGTGTGACCAAAGGTTTTACTGACTCAGTTGAATATTCGTAATTTTCAGTCAAGCACTCATGCTTAGAATATATTAATTTAAACCACATAACCAACTAAAGCGATTAAAGCCAAACATAAAAAGAAAAATCCTAAAACTTAAAACTTTTGGTCGAATGAAGTCTGCCTCATTGCCATTCTAAAAAAAAATAAAAATAAAGATAAAAAATAAAATAAAATTCATTTGAAACTCAGTTACTATAAAGGCAAAATAACATTTAAAAAACGAAAGAACAAAAGATCAAATGATCAGCAAATTTACGAGAATGCTGCCTCGTCGTCGGGCAACGGATAATGTGATAACGTATCACCACTTGTGCTGCGCATCACTCTAACCGCCGATGCCCATTTACCTGGAAATAATAAATGAACCTGTTTCCAGCAAGTATAAAATTATCACTTTTTCAAAAAATTACACCTTTTTGGCTCTTAGGAAGACCAAATTCGCGCTCATTTGCCTCTTCCTTGAGCACTTGTTCAGCCATTTCCTTAACAGCTTGAACATCCGCTCCCTCAGTTTCTCTTGCCACTTCTAAGAGATCCTACAACATAAATCAAAGAAACTAAAAATTTGCGTCAAATAAAAATCCCTTTAAGCCATACATTAGCAAGTTGACGACGACGTTTTTGACGAGTTTCACGCGTAAGTGCAGCGTGATCGGTTTCAATTAAAATAAGGTTCCCTGACGGCTTGTGAACAATCAGACGTCGTGGAGTGTATTCCAAAGGATAACTTACTTGGTTGAAAACTGTGCCTAATTTTTCAAGCGACAAAATTCTGAAATCCAGAGATATCTTTTAATACTTAAACGACAGAAATCAACCCTGAAAAGACAACCAATTCAAAAAACTCCAAAAATAAACTTTTGTAACCAGAACATATTCAGAATAATTACCTCAACGTATTTTCAGCAATTGCCACTATGCCTTCCGTACACTGCTCAGAAGAAAAGCCTGCTGCATACTCCAAAGTGGTGTAAGATAAGGGAGTAAGATGAAAGCGGCTCTGATAATCATAGAGAAGCCAGGCGCGAGAAGACGCCGCCATGATCTAAGTAAAAAATCAATTCTATAAGACTAGTGATCCTCATCTTCAAATAAACAGATAATAAATTCAAATCAAATTTAAGAAAAAAAACGAAGTATGCAATGATGCTCATATTTAACTCTAAAAGTAAAAGAGGGCTCTATCTTACTGCATCTTTGTTCTGTACCCGGACTCTAAACAGCTTCACACTTCTTGTCCCTAAATAACGTGTCCGATTATCTGTTAGTTCCCCTGTTACCTGATCTACTGTTGTGCGTAACAGGCAGCCGTTCTAGAAGAACAGACACATTTAGAGGAAATCAGAGAATTCGAAGAAAAGTACAATTTCTTTTAGCTACTTTGACAGTTATTTGAATGTCAGAAAAAAAAAGACAGTAAGGAAACTAAAGCAAAAGTGAAAACTATAAGGCAACCGCACCTGCAAACCTATGTTTAAGTGTACAGTTGACGTGCTATGAGCTTCAGCACCAAACACTTCTAGCACTATTATTGATTCCGGTTCAGAAGGTAGCGCCTGCATACTAAAAACTTATAATTCACTAAAGAAATCTTAAAAAATTGTATAAATTCAACTTTCTTTTGGTACAGAAGCGGAAATATATAACTGTTACCTGAGAGGAGACAGGCAGTCCTGCGGATCCAGAGAAATTATTCTTACAGTTTTATCGGCAAGACCAACTGTTAAAAACCTCGAGCGAAGCTCGCCTTCGGGGATCTCACTCAGGCTCATGCATAACACGTCAGCAGGCAGTTCGCGCCTCTCAGTATACTCATTTAATTGACCAGTCTGTTAAAAATAACTGGAAGTTTGGTAAAACCAAACACATAAAAAATTTAAGTCCATCGCCAAAGATTTCGGAAGGAAAAAAAATAAATTTTATCATTAGATAAACAAAAAAAACTTACCACATCAAGCTCAAAGTAGACTATTTCGCCGCCGGCTAAAGCAATGGCTACCTGCCTACGATTCAGGGCACACTTAATAATTGTTCGCTTTCCTGGAGCTTTCCACTCATTTACTCTACGATCAGCACGGATATGACGAATGCCATCAGGGTACACCTATAAAACTATCAAATCACGTTAAAACTCAGTGATCTTCTTGCAAACTGTCGACTTTCCATCTGTAACCTGCAATAAAGCATCGTCGCCAATAAGTGCACAGCCTAGTGTTGGTGTAGTACCCAGGAATCCAGAATCCGTCACTTCTTCAACAGTTTCTCCAATTGAAAGAACCAGCGTTGCGTTGACGAACGACACAACTATGTGAGAATCGTATTTATCTGAAGCATTATTATAATTGGTCAGTACCACCGCAAAAGCTATTTAAGCGGTCTCACCTGAGTAATTTTTCAACTAAATTGTAAGGTCTTGATTAAGAAACAATAATAACAAAGAAGACGTTACAGAAAATAATTAATCACACCAAACCAAATAGCACACTAATAACTAAACAGTCTACCATCAATATTCCTTTTGACAGTCCAGACCGCATTTGGATTTCCAGGAAGTTCCGAAACAGCCATTTCTGTAACCTCCAAGCCATTCCGTAAAACTTTTACGGCAGAACGAGAACCTCTGCCAACCAAAGTATACAACTGTGGAGCATCTTCATTAGCAAGATCATCAACCTAGAAAAAAAAAATCGTGAACTCTTGCAACAAAAAAAAAAATGCTTACAGAATGGTTCCAATCCACTCACATAGCAATCAATCAACGGACACAGACTGTCGATCTGATCAACCACAACGAGATTTTTGAGAGATCTCACTCCAAAATAAAAAGTCTCTCCCTCTTCAAATTGCATCCTCGATGAACACTCCTGCTCATCGTCTTCATCACCCAGATGAGCAATTTGATAAAGTTGACTAAATCCATGTAGTACATAAAAAGCATTTACTAAAAGAATGACCAAAGAAATAAATAAAAAAAAGAAGTAATATGAATTCTGACAAGTAGCATAACTGAAAAAAAAAATCTTTCTTGCGCTAAGTTGTATTGGCACTAAAGTACTACTGCACTTCAAGAAACATTCATTACAATTGAAACTGTTAGTAAAAATTAACAATGCTTGTCCGGTCCCACTGTCCTTCAGCATAAACAAAAAATTAAAAGATTCTTCCTTTGAGAAAATAAATGAAAACATCAATCCCTTAGTAGCTGTAAAGATACTATAAATAAAAAACTGTTCAAAAGCAATTCAAAAATAACACTCCAATGCGACTGTCAATTAAAAAAAAAATCGTAAAATTCCTATTTAAAAAACTGTTATTTTATTTTCACACAAATGTTCTTAATTGGCGTCTCAGATTCCAAATCACTCTCTTCACTTCGTGACAATTACTGGTACGGCAGGGGTAAATTATCTCAAAAACTACATTTTCAATGCAGAGTGAAAAAAATTTTACCAGTTACGAATGTCCAAAAAGTCATAAAATAGCAGCAATGGATATGATAAAAGATCTGATTGAAAACAATAAAAAAATAAAGATGTAGAATAAGAAATCAGTTTTACAATCTTTCAAGTAATATGTCAAAAGTATTTCAAACTTAAATGCCCTGCAACCAAAAATCAAAAGTTTTAACTCACTGGTTGCCGAATTCGCTGGCAGTAAACAGGAATCCAGTTTTTAAAATACACATTGAGTTGGCGACTGGAATTGTGTCAAAATACTTGATCTTCATTTCGGTTACCTGCAAAAAAATTGTTTTAATGAATTAGCAAAAACCAAACAAAGAAGGAGCGAAACGATATTTTAAAACAAAGTGGAATAAAAAACGTACAATATCATGTTCGCTTTCTAATGTAACTTTAAAAACATCTCCTTGGTCTGTTTGAACCAAAAAGAAGTACATTAGCTTTGTTTTATGCGTCGCAGTACAAACAATCATTGTCGTCCTTTCGACATCATCCAAATCGTTCTAAAAATAGTGCGCAATAAAGGAAAAATTAAAAAGCGAAGAGAAAATAGAAAAAAGCAAGATTAAATCACCCTTCTTCTTGGGATTGGACATTTGATATCAGGTTGGTCACCAAGGTTCTTGTAAACAAGGTAATTTTCGCAACAAACAATTACACCACTTGGCCCGTCCTGCCCTCCTGGCACTAAAAGTTTTAGAGACAATAGAAAGATTCCATTACATCTTACGGTAAAGTTACATCTCAAGCGGCAGAAAAATAATAAGTAAAACTAATTAGTTGAAACAGAACAAACAAAAGCAAAAATCTGACCTGAAATTAATATATTCCCTTTGTCAGCTAAAGGTTCTGCATATTTCCTGACTACATGATTTAAACCAAGATCCAGCTCATAAAATGTTAACGTTTGGGCAACTTTAGAAGCGAGTTGTCCTGTAGCGTCATGATCGACTTCCTTAATGAAAATTAAAGGCATTCTACACAAAACTCGCTGTAAAAAAATTAAATTACAAATAATAATTTTGTATCAGCCATCAAAGTGTCGTAGGCAGGAAATTTAAAAAGCCGACACTTGAGACGTGAGCCTGTGCACAGAAATTACTTCGTAATCCACTTCCAAACAAGCAAAGGTCGGATTTTCAAACCCAACATCGACTCCGACGATACTGTAACATATACAGTGGCTTTTATGTGCCTCTAACGGGGAGCTAATTGTCAAGTTGGCTGCGGCATCTCTATTCATTATGTAAACCAATTTCTGCCTCTCAACAGCACCTGTGAGAACACTGATTATTAGAGCTAAGTTTACCATAACTAACAGTACACTATCACAAACATAAGAACAATTCAATATTTCAAAAAAAAAAAAAAAAAAAAA